GCTCTAAAGAGAAAAGGAAATGTAAATGTATCAAACGGGTTTATATGAGAAACAAAAACACGCAAAAAAACCAATCAGGACGATTTTTGTTAGAATCAACCACTCGCTGACAAGACTGGTGGTGAATCTTTTCGAGTACTGCTGAAAGAGCGAGTTCAAATTTGTCTAGTATGGGTGCGTTGCTAATTTACCACTGAAACGAAATAAACGTTTTTCTTGGTGATGAGTTCGGGCCAGCAGTAGTTTCTAAGAGTAAGCATCCAAGTACCGCTAACTAAATTAATCGTTACAACGGGCAATTAGAAAAACCTGAATACTTGGCTTGTAAGACTGTGGTGTATGCAAGTGTAAAATTACAGAGTTCTGCTGGCAACGAGTGGTGATCCGCACAATTGTTATGTCGGCAGCTTTATTCGTTGCACTGTCGCTGCCGGACTTTAGCGCTTTGATGAATTTGTTCGGAAGCACGTCAGTACCATGCACATGCGTCATCTTGCCATGTTTATACGAACTTTATATCAGGGCAGCTATATATGACGAAAAAACAAGGACCTGGATATTACCAACATTTTTAGAGTAAGTAAATTTTCATAATGAACCCTTGAAATCCACTGATTCAATAGATCGTAATTTTAGCAAACGCATGTGAGCTTTTGCACTTCTAGTATAGCTAGGAGTGCTTCTTTTCCCGAATGCGATCAGCAGTGTCAACGAATACTGCCTTTAGTTTTTGTTTAGTGGTACTCCCGGAGAATTCCTATGGAATGAAAGCACGATTCTGTGAAGGCCAAGAAGGTCTAACTGGTCAAGGGTTCTTCTGCAATAGCATGTTTCGTCCTCCGCTTCTAAATCTAATTTACTTTACTTATACTCGATACGAACGTTAAGAATTCCGTCTGCTAGTAAGAAAAGCAGTCCCTTAGAGATCATTTGTTCATTACGTTGGCAAATGGCCACCCGGTCCCTTTTCGAATTTTCCTCGGGAATCCCAGGAGCATCAGTATTGCCGGTGGGCGGTTCAGTTTCAGTGATAAGTACAGTTAGAATAAATTTTCTGGGCAAGTCAATCATAAACTGCATTTGGCGAGATTATGACTATCCGCTATCTTACATAAGAGATAACTTGTAGATTCTAAAGAAATTACAGTAAAAATTTTTATGAGATGGGGTTGTTTTATATGTGGATCGCTGTGTGGCGTGGTGCTCTGAGCGTACGCACACCGTAGAGAAGCAAAATCAAGTTTATGACTTACTGATGAAGAATCGCGCAAACAGCAAATAAACAGCACGAAATGTGGCGCTTATAATCTATCGAATCTGTGAGCTTGCCGAGCAAGAGTCGTTGTACAGAGCCTGGTTGATGAGGGCCAACAGTATGTCAGACGAGGTTGAGTCGTTGAAGAGTCCCCCGAGAAGACTTGGTGCCGTGGTCCCGGTGAAGAAGAAGAAGACTGAAGACTGAAGCCACGAAGAATGGTGGGGAGGTTTATAAAGGGTGTAGGAACCGCCCCAAAGAGGATGTGATAGTTTTCTGGAGGGGTTGAAGATGTGAAAATGATAGTTAAGGTAAAGTGAAATGTGAATAGGAAAAATGGAAATGTGGGTTTTTAGTGGGGTTAAAAAAAAGGGAATGAAAGGAAAATAAGGAAGTAAAATGGCTGGGAATGCAAACGCATTCCAAAATGGGAGCCAAAATGGGACAAAGGGTACGAATGTGGAATTAGATTTTTAAGAGTGTAAAAAAAAGAGAAGGACGAAAATGTAGAAAACCGTAAACACGAAAGAATGCAAATTATATTATGATTCATAGGGTAAAAGG